GAGATAAGCAGACCAGTACCTCCACCTCTTCCAGTTACATGGGGAGTGTGGGAAAATGAGAAATTATTGGAGAGTGCTGCAGGAATTGCAGTGTCCTCTGGTTTGATCCAGGTCTCTGTCAGGGCCATGACATTTAGTCTTGAATGACAAGAAATAGATGTAATGAAATCTGCTTTGTTTACTGCAGACTGACAATTCCAGAGACCAATAGAAAAAGACAGTATTGTATTAGCAGACATAGGCAAAGTGCACAGGTTGTTAGGATTGTGCTGCCTATTGTGTGTGATGCGTGGTTTGCGAGTAGTAGTAATAGTAGGGATATGGAACACATAGTAAGAGTTAGTCATAAAAACTGAAAAAAAAGAACTGAGTGTAAAAAAAAAAAAGAGGTTGAGTCAAAAGCGATACTTATGTCCATTGTCTGTGTCCCTGCACTGTGGAGTCGCACGGTAGAGTCGATGGTCTTTACACTTTTCGGTCTTCACATGAGGCCTGCTGCGACTGCTGCCGCGGTGTACTATCCTTTTTTATACCCGTTTGACAAAACGGAAATTGAATTCAGCTGAACACACTTTACTGTTTATCACAACAAAGGGCTAAGCAAGCGCACGACACTGACAAGGTATGCGATACAGTACGAGACCAAACGCAACTTCAGCACGTCTCAACACAGTAAACAAAACAAGCGTTTCCTAGCAACGACAACTGCGCTAAACATTGAGACAAGGAATAAATACACTTACGAGCTGCTTTTAACTTCCGCTGATTGACTGCTTCTCTCAAAGAGTATTTCTTTACACTGTCTTTTGCTAGCGCTTAAACACACTTTACTGTTTATCACAACAAAGGGCTAAGCAAGCGCACGACACTGACAAGGTATGCAATACAGTACGAGACCAAACATAACTTCAGCACGTCTCAACACAGTAAACAAAACAAGATTCATTCATGGTTCATTCATCATACATGGTTGTGACATGTTATAAATTTGTAAACGTTATTATTATTCAAATGATTTTATTGTTCCTTTTATTATAGATATATACTGTATATAAACACAGATGTGCAGGAATGTATGTTATGCATATGTGCACACATTCTTTGTTTTTGCCTTTTCACACTAATGAACATGTAATGACTCGCCAGTGAAAACTGAGATGCTGTCTCATCTACCAGGTGTTGTGGTGCAGACGAGACAGGAGATCACATATATCTTTTTGTCTGCTTAGAGTTTCACTGTGCTTGAGTGTCTGCATATTAGTTTCTGCCTTTAACAAAAACAGAGACCATACCATACACACTGGTTAAGACACACTTTTTTTTTTTGTAGGCTACTTTAAAATGGCATTAGTCAGAATCCTTGTATGGTGTGATGATTGCTGACAGTTGTCTGATACTGCAAACGTTCATTTGGATTCATTCTAGACTTTCTAACCATAGCAGTTTTAAAGAAAGTGCGTGTTAAATTGAAAGTGCAAAGCTTAATATACTGTGAAATGTGTTCAATTGACTTTGAAGGAAAACCTAAACCTTCATTAAATCTTTAAGGTGCCTCTTCTTGTGACAGCAGCATTAGGTGTCATGTGTCCCAATGAGTGAGAGTGCATCGAACAGTTTAAATGGATACGGCGTACCATCCAGAATGCTTTGTGATTGTTCCTTTTCAACATTGATGAAATTTGAATTGCTCATCTGAGAGGCTAGAATTGTTTTACTTCATGTAAGTTCTCAGATAAATTTAATATTGAGTGTTTTTTTGTTTGTTTGTTTTTTGCATTTGTATTAATTCCTGTCTTAAATAGAACTGTTTTTCTCTGAAAGACTTAAGCCGAATTCAAATCATCCAGACAATTGTTCCAGCTCATACTAATATTTTAATACTAATATCAATTGCTATTACACATGTGAGGTCACGTGGTGTTGCTATGACAATAGGGAGTCAGTTACTGGAGAGCAGCTGCACACCTGTACAGTAATTTGTTAGACCACAGGTGCAAGGGAAGAAATTCAGAGACTAATAGAGATCAGAAGGGCAGCAAAATGCCAAAGAAAAGTGATACAGCAAGAAAACTGGAAGATGGTGAGTTATGCATTTTTATTTTCAAATGTAGCATAATTTGATAGTTACTTCTAACAATGATGATCATTGTTTTAGTGATAAGTTGATTAAAAATCTATAATCTGTTGTGTACTTAGAGAGGTACTTGTGCATTTTTTACAGTGGGAATAGAAATTGATGGAGATGTGGAGAGTGCTGAAGGTAAGAAAAAATATTATGCTGAATTTATTATTTTTTTTATTTTTTATTAGTGGTGCTAAGGAAAACATCAAAATTTAGATTGCTCATAATCTAGAAAACACCCAGCAGCTGGAACTGCACATTTTGAAGAGGGAACCTCACTTTTATTTATTTATTTATTTTATTTTTTTGTACAGATCTGTTTGTTTATCTGTGTTACTCAGCAAGAATGTCTTGTTTTTATGCATGATATGCTTTTATAAAAAATACAGTTGTGCCATCTTTTACTCAGAGGACAAGAAAGCAAAAGGCAAGGGTGCTAAAAAAACAGCAGCCGGTAAGTGGGGCAAAGCAGCAGCCAGTGAGGACGGTGAGGATGAAGATGAGGATGATGAACCTCCAAGAGGTCGTCGAGCGGCCAATAAAAAGAAAGCAGCCCATGCAGATGAGGAAGATAGCGATGATGATATTCCACAGAGGAGATGTGCCGGGAACAGGAGAAGAGGAAAAGTACGAGAGAGTGGGCGAGATGGGGAAAATGAGAAGTCCGGCAGAAAAAACAGGAAAGGTGGGAACAAAAAGAAGGATGGTAAGGGGAAAGGAAAAGACAAGGAAAATGACAAAGACAGCGACAAAGATGAAAAGAAGAAAAAGAATAGTAGGTATGCTGACATGTACACTGACTTCATTGACTGCACCTACACCAAGAGATCACTATATGTAAGACAAAACTTTCCTGAAACTCCCATAATAGATAGGCCTACTTATACCTTCCTCTTTTACAGTCCATCCCCAAAGTTCTATTGGAATATTTATAGTTTTTCAGATCTAATTTACATACCATATTTCCATATTATTTATAAAAGTGGTTTGTTTTGTTAAAAAATATATGCTCAACTATCCCAGCCTTTCCCTATAACCACAAGAGTATCATTTTAACTATTTAAACCCATTGCATTTTTAATACTATGTCTCCCCATATGCTCTAGACACACACTTGTGCTTGTTAGAGTTCAATGTAGTTTATCACCATTTTAAAAGTATGAACTCTTGGAAAAGAAAGAAAGAAAGAAGATATTTTCAACATTATATGCTCAAATACAGGGTTAGTATTATGGGTGTAAGATATTTAAACAAAGAGGGGGACACAATAAGGCATGGGTACACTGGAAACAAAAAAACAATATTTCTGTCTTGTTTTTCAATAAACATATCTAAAATCGGTGACACTTTATTTTGATGTGTCCTTATTACAGTGTAATTACACAACATTAATTACTAAAAGTTTAGGTTAGGGTTTTTCAGTGTTATTTGGTTGTAATTCAGCAGAATTTAATGTTATTACTATCGAGTAAAAATATGCAACGTGTAACAAGGGCACATTAAAATAAAGGGTTACCAGTATATCTCATATTTATCATTCTTGTCTTTCAAAAATCTATCTTAAACTTATTTTGTTTTGTTGTTTTAAGCCTAAATCTAACAAAAAATTATGCAAGTTTATGTACACTGTAAAAATAATAACCTGTGGTTGCCGGAATTTTACCGTAAAAAATACGGTAGCAACATTTTAGGTTTTAACTTAAATTTACTGTTAAATACCGTAATTTCATTAACTGATATAATGTTAATATACCAACCTATTGAGGTACTGAAATCTGTTTTGTACCTTTGTAATACACTGATAACCACCAAATGCAGGTGGTGATGAGAAAGTCACATGATGAACCAAAGCCCATCACAAGCAGCTTTTAAATAACATATATAGAAGGTGCACAGTGTCATTCACACAAACACTAAACACCATCATGGTAACACACATGAAACTGAAATAATGCAATAAACATTCATTTAACAACATTAGGTGTAACACATAACCCTAATATACAAAACTGATTAGAAAAAAATTAGAAAAAAAAAAGTTATTTTAACAAAAAAACATCAAATCTGAAATGTAACGCAGTGAATTCTGGGAATGTCAATTTACGGTTATTCACTGTAAATTATACGGTCTTTTTCACTTCCAAAAACGGTATACTACCGTAAAATTAATGTCCAATACATGTAATGTCCAATACAGTTTTTCACCGTATATAGTAGGGGAACCAATTAACAGGTTTTTACTGTAGCATTTTTACAGTCTTTTACCGTTAAATTCACGGTCATTTTTTACAGTAAGACAAAATAACTCAATGTAATGTAATAATTTGGCACTCAATCACCTCATGTTCTGTCTTAGTGGTGATGATTCCAAATCAGATGAAGAGGAGGAGTCCATGTCTGAAGGAGAAATGGCCAAACTGATGGAGGAGGTGGAGGAGAAGAAGAAACTGATAGCAAACATCAGGAGCAAGCCCTGGCGAATGAGAAGACGACTTCAAGTCCTCAAGTACTGAGGAACCTTATGCAAAAAATGTGATGCAAAAAAAATTTTTTCAAATAAATCAGTAGGATTGAAGAGACCCCCTGTAGCTATGACTGAATTCACAATGCAGCATGTTTTTCTAAAAACAATTGCTACTAAATAAAAGTATGAAGAACAGATTTTAATGAAGACATTATTTTAGTAAGTGGTTTGATTAGGTTCATTCTTCCACTAGAAGATATAGCTGTAATAGCTGGTAAACATCTGTTTTACATCATATCTGTTTCTATATTGTATATTTTAACTAGAATTTTGTATTAATCAATCAGCTTCAAATACTATAACTATTTATTTGATCTCCTCCTCCATATTCTCTTTGTGTCTATAGAGAGGCTCAGCAGTTTGTGGATAAATTTGAAGGTGCTTTGGGCAAAGGGAAAGGCAGGAAACTGTATGCCTACAAAGTAATGATGATGAAGGTAGGAATATCAAAATCTTCAATTACATTTGTGGTTTTTGTTAAAGTAAGCATCACTATTACTATTGCTGAAAATAAAATAATCCTAATTTGAAAGAGATCCAAGCTAAATGTAGGAATCAGAATATCATAGAGAAACTTTGTAGTGGACTCTTTTGAGTAGAACCTGTAGTCACCCGGAACTTCCTATAGCAACAACATTTCAATGGGTTACAGTTTTTCTCAATCGATTTGATACTTTTCTATATATACTGTATATATATATATTTGTGTGTGTGTGTGTGTGCGTGCGTGCGTGCGTGCGTGTGTGTGTGTTTGCTGTTGTACATGAATTATGCTGAATTATTGATCATGCCTTTCAATTACATCTGGAAGAGAATTTCATCTACATTGCATAATATATTCTTGCTGTAATCTCAACATCTCCACAGGCCTCTTCCTTTGTGGGTGGTGACATTGCTGTGGACCACCATGTCAACAATGCTCTTGACTTGTTCCATTCAAAATAAAACTGTTTGTCCACCTAAATGTTCTCAAACTTTAATTCTGAAAAAGTTTGGACATTTACATGTAAAGAACAGAAGTTGTCCCAGGAGGACTACAAATCTGCACTATCAACAATCATAGTACAAGACTTATAAATGTAGAAGTGTATTGACATAGTAACTCTTTAGATCTGTTTCCCAGCTTCTCTAAAGGAGAGGCCATGATTTCTTAATTAGGCTCATTCTGATTTCATTTGAAATTAATCTGTACCTTCTACCTCTCATCCCTCCTCTTCCACCCTTCTGTCCACTTCCTCTTACACTTTCTCTTCTTGCTATTTCCACTACACCAATGCCCTCTACTCTACTCATCTCTTCACCCTCTCCTCCTCTCCTCTTTTTATACCCTCCTATCTGCTCATCTCCTTCTCCTTCCTTCTTTTTGTGCATATTCTTTCTTCCTCTTTATATACTTTCCCTTTTATCGGTAAAGCAATAGTGATGATAAATATGCAAACAATTAGGAAAACTGCATTTCTTGTTGTGTGTATAATTAACCAAGCAGTTATCAGTTTAGGGCCAACTGAAAATATTACATGTGCATTTGATAATATGACAAATTACAGAGTTTTTGTGTGTGTGTGTGTGTGTGTGTGTGTGTGTGAGAGTTTGGACAAATGGTACATTACCAATAAAAATAGCTGCAATTGTTTTGTTTTGTTTTTTTTCTTATTATATTTTGTTGGCTGTATGAACAAATATGAAAACATTTGAGAATTTTGTGAAAGGTGTTTTAAGAAAATGATTCACATGATTTGCAATTTGTTCTACAATTTGTTTAGGACAGTTACGATGTGTACAGATCACTGTGTTAAAAATGTGTAAAATTGATTGAGAAAAACTGTAAAACACAATTTAAATACCTTAGCAACCTCATATTAACCGCCCACAACACCGTAGTGGCAACATGTGCATACGCAAACTGCACTAACTTTGTCTTACTTGCAGCCTCCTAATCTTCCTTATATGCTTTGTGACTTATACAGAAATGGATAAAGTTTCAAAGAGATTTTGAAAATTTTAGGACATCTTGCATCCCATGGGAGCGGAAAATAAAGGAAGTTGAGAGTAAGTACTTCATATCATTCAGATGTCTTATTGATGATAGAAAATGATTTATTTCACCTGTACCAAATTAGAAATTGAGCCATATTTATTTTTTGGAATGTTTACTCATTTGAATGTTCCTCATTCTGAGCCCTGGCAATGTTTCATCCATTTGCAGGTCATTTTGGCTCCTCAGTTGCTTCATACTTTATTTTCCTCCGTTGGATGTACGGCATGAACTTGGTCCTCTTCAGCTTGACCTTTGGCCTGGTTGTGATACCAGAGGTCAGTGTATTATCAGTTATGTTGTGCTGTATGTTGTTGTGTACACTAATAATAAAATTATGGTATTTTGCTTTACAGTAAAGGGAGCAGTAAAGTATCTTTTTAGCTTATGTCTGGCCTTAAAGAAATAGTTCACCCAAAAATGAAAAATTGACTTAAAATGTGCTTACCTTTAGGCCATATATAGATGAATTTGTTTCTTCATCGGAACAGAACTAGAAACATTTAGACATTTACATCACTTGCTCAAAAATTTATCCTCCTCAGTGAATGGGTGCCGTCAGAATGAGAGTCCAAACAGCTGATAAAAACACCAGATAACAGTCAATCAATTAACGTCTTGTGAAGCAAAAAGCTGTGTGTTTGTAATAAAACGTGTTTGCTTCCTGCTAAAAGTCCTCTGTCCATAATATTGCTTTATCCAGTGTTTTTATCTTTTCTAAATTAAGTGAGACATATGCACAGATCAAGCACAGTTTACAAGTGAAAACAGTCCAAAACAGTTTTAAACAATGTCAATGGACCTTGATCCCAGTGGATGGACTGGAGAAAGCATTATTGTGGTTTATGGAGTGCTATTTTGGCCAGAAGCAACAGTGTAAAGTTAAAACACCTGAATAATGGATTTGTTTCTTACAAACATGCAGATTTTAACTTCACAAGACGTTAATTGATGGACTGGTGTCACGTGGATTACTTGTGGATTATTGGGATATTTTTATCAGTTTGAATTCTCATTCTGACGGTACCCATTCACTGCAGAGGATCCAGTGGTGAGCAAGTGATGTAAGGCTAAATTTCTCCTAATCTGTTCTGATGAAGAAACAAATTCATCTACATTTTGGATGGCTAACCGTACATTTTTAGCAAATTTTCATTTTTGGGTGAACTATTCATTTAACAAATGATTTGGAATTTTCCACAAGGTTCTCATGGGGCTCCCATACGGGTCCCTTCCTCGGAAAACTGTGCCGAGAGAAGAGCAAGCCACTGCTATGGACTATTCTGTTCTCACGGATTTCAATGTAAGATCGTGATACATGTATTAGTGGGATCCAAAGGTCTGAGACCACTAGTGAAAACATATATGTTTTGCATTTTTAAATATAGCATTTCAGCATTCTATAACAATTTGAGTGAAAGTTGAATTAGAAAAAAAGAACATGAATTTCAGAATATCTTTTATGCTGCCTTTTTGACAGCAGTACGCTGAAGAAAAAACTTTATATACTTTGGACCAAATGTTAAATTTTCTGTAGTGTGAAAGTAGAAAATGTAAAAACATTTAGTCAATGTTTAATTAGTTTACATAAAGGGTTAGTTCACCCAAAAAATGAAAATGCTGTCATTAATTACTCACCGTCATGTCGTTTCAAACCCGTAAGACCTTCGTTCATCTTCGGAACACGAATTAAGATATTTTTGATGTATCTGAGAGCTCTCTGACCCTGCATAGGCAGCAATGCAACTGAAATGTTCCCAAGTCCAGAAACGTAGCAAGGAGATCGGTAAAATAATCCATGTGACATCAGGGGTTCAACCGTAATTTTACGAAGCTACGAGAATACTTTTTGTGCGCAAAAGAAAAAAAAAACGACTTTATTCAACAATTCGTCTCCTCCGCGTCACCCTGTAGCGCCATTTTGGAGAATATCCGCTGGACGTAAACAGCGTATGCTGTTCTGTGTCAGCTGCGCCACGCGGATACGCTGTTTTCGTTCAGATCAAATCACAACAACGTAGGAAACAGATCCGGCGTGACAGCTGACACGGAACAACATACGCTGTTTATGGTCACATGGATTATTTTACAGATCTCCATGCTACGTTTCTGGACTTGGGAACATTTCAGTTGTATTGCTGTCTATGCAGGGTCAGACAGCTCTCAGATTCCATCAAAAATA